CCTGTCATTCCCTCTTAATATCTTTAAGGAAGTCACTAGTCGAAAGTGAAATAACAAAAAATTCAGTTTGCTTGGGTAGCCGTGAAAGCGCATTAGCAACAACATTCTCTTTCCCCTTTTTGTAAGTTATTTCATAATCATATCTAAGAAGTTTTGTTACCCATTTTTGCTGCTCGGGGGAAGATATCTTCTGCTCTAAGAAATATTTTAGGCTTTTATGGTCGGTCTTGATTTGAAAGCATCGCCCGATCAAGTACGATCTCCACCTCGTTGTTGTGTGTACAATAGCGAGCATCTCCTTATCATATGTTGACATGTTTTGATAGGAGGGAGACAATACCTTGCTAGTGTATGTGAGTGGTCGACCATCTTGTATGAGAATATCTCCAATTCCGACTCTAGATGCATCGGCCACAATGATGAAGGGTCGGTTGAAATCTGGTAGCGCTAGCATCGACATCGTCGTCATGGCTGCCTTAACTTTATCAAAGGCAACAGAGGCTTTGTCCGACCATTGGAAGGTATCATTTTTTAGTAGAGAAGTGAGTGGTGCACTGATCTTTCGATAGTTTTTCATGAACTTGCAGTTGTAGCTTGTTAAACCAAGAAAGCCACGTAGCAATTTTATGTTCCTAGGGGTTGGCCAGTTCTGCATTGTTTCTATTTTGGAGGGGTCCACTATCACACCTTCCTCTGATATGATATGCCCAAGATATTTCACCTTTTATTGAAGAAACAAAAAATTCGTAGTGGTCATTGTGTGTTCGAAAGGTGGTTTTCGATATGTCTTCTTCGCACACTCGTATTTGATAATACCCGGATCGAAGGTTCAGCTTTGTGAAGATTTGTGCTCTCTTTCATCTAGCAATTCATCTACTACTAGAATAGGGTATTTATCTTTGATGGTTATGCCATTGAGAGCTCGGTAATCAATGCATATTCGCCATGTTCCGTCCTTCTTGTGTACAAGTAGCACCAGTGAAGAGTAGAGGTTGCAACTTGGCTGAATAACTCCTGTTTCAAGCATCTCTTTTACAATCCTTTTTATTTCATCATTCTGGAAATGTAGATATTGATATGACCGAATATTTGTTGGAGGTTTTCTTGGAAGAATGTTATATAATGATCATGCCGACGGGTAAGAGGTAGGTTGTGCAGTTCTTCAAATATATCTGAAAATTCAGCAAGCAAAGAAAGTAGGCTTGGATCTTCAAATTCTACTGGCTCTCCCTTAGTTTAGTGCTCAAGTTGTACCAAAAAGCCGCTGCATGCTTTATACAAAACCTTCTCCATTTGTTATGTGCAAATCGTCGTTACGTCGCACCCATGTTTCCCGTACAATATCACATGTTTCCCCTTACTGTAAAATTTCATAATTAGTTTCATAAAATTTCAGGAAACATCACCTAATGTCATCAACCATTCAATTCTGAGCATGGTCTCATGATCATCAAGAGGGAGGAGGAAAAATATGCAATTATCTCTTGGTCCTACAACAATAGTTTCACTCGCGGGCGCCTATGATCATACTTCAAAATCCATCCATCGGCGACCTTAACGTCAAACCTGCTATAATTCTCGATAGGTAAGGCTATCCAGACAACAACCTTACTATTTAGGAAGTTATTAGTGCTGCCCGTGTCGATGAGAATAGTGATCGATTGTTATTTGAGAAGGCCTCTAACTTTCATCGTTTGCGGGTTTGAGTAGCCGGCTAGTGCATATACCATAACTTTGGTCGGTTGTGGCTCTTCTTCCACATCATCTTCTTCTTCATATTCAAGGCTCTCTTCGAGATGTTCAATGATCTCTTCTTCTACTGGTTCAATCATAAGAAGTCTCCCTTTTCTACAACGATGCTCGCGGCTCCATAGCTCAACGTAGTGCCAATATAACCCCTTCGCAGATCGCTCCCAAAGCTCTTCTCTTGTCAACCTTTTTGGTGCAGGGACTTGGTTGACAGTAGGGGGGACTGAGGGTTTCAGTATTGTTGGTCAAGGACCAACCCTAGTCCTTTGGCCTTCATGGTTCAATCGCTCCTCTTGAAATCGTGCGAAAGAGATGGCTACGATAAGCGTGTACGGTTGTTGCGCTTTAACTTCTCCCCGGATCTCTGGCTTCAAGCCCTCAATGAAGGTCTCCAATAGCTATTTTTGAGGCCAATCATAAGTTTGATTAGATAACCTTTCAAATATGGTTTAGTACTCTTGAATGGTGGAGGTTTGTTGGATCTTTGCTAGTTGTCCATCAATGTTCTCGTAATCGGTTGGTCCGAAGCAGATCATCAGTCCTTCTTTGAATTATCACCATGAGAGGACTCCATGAGTATGTTCAAACCAGTTAAACCACTATATGACATCCCCTTCAAGATGTATAGTTATAATTTTCACCATAGATGTGTCTGCGGTTTTGTGGTACCGAAAATATCGCTCCGCGCGTGAGATCCAATCAATTGGGTCTCTTTCTTCCCATCTAGGGAGGTCCACCCTCATGCATGGATGGCTGGGGTTGGTCATAGAGCCTCCCCTCTCTTGGAAGTCATCCTTTCGGGCTTGGTGTGATGGGTTATAGCTCTCTCCTTGATGTGATTTCTTCGGGCTTAGTAGTCGACCCAAACTGAATTCGGTAAAGAGAGTCTGAATCTTATATTCCATTCGAGCCTCGAAGGCTTTGAATTTAGCATTGATTGTATCCTCCGATGCCATAGTATATGCCTCCAAATATGTAATATTAAGATATTTCTTTTGTTGTCGGGTTAAAGGCATGTATAGATTGAGGTCAAAAGGGTTGGTGGATGTAGGCTGCGGTTTAGGCTTGTTTTGTGACTATTTTGGATACAGTTTGAGGGTATGGTTTGGTGACGTTTTAGGGCTGTGGATGTAAGTTTTAGATCTGTGGTAGATGGCAGCAAAGGTTTGATAGAAATCAGTGGAAGTTTACTACAGAATTAACGTCGAAGAAACAACGGTTTCTCGATGAAATTTCCACCAAAAACTTGAGAGATTTAAGGAGAGAATTGATAGCAATATCTCAGTTTATATGACAGCAAGGATGTCCAATTTAATCAAAAAAAATTTGGCAGTAATAGCAAGAAAATTGGTGCAAGTTGTGATAGCAGAATTCTCATCGAAAAATTTTAGTAGTT